CCATGAGACTCAGACCTACAACAGGAGAAAAATAAAGCTCAGCAAAGCAGCCAGTGAGCATGCAAACACATGGAGAGTTAGCTACACCAGCAACAGCAAATTCACCCCACGCAGCAGCACCAACCACAGAGAGAAGGCTCTGGTGCTGCAGGCCTTCCCCAGGGCCTTCCAAGGGAATCCTCCAGCTCTGAGTGCAGAGACCCCGCTCATCAGAAGGCACGAGTGCAAGCACAGGAAGCTCCCCAGCAAAGCTTCAGCTGCCAGTTCCACAAAACACCAGACCAGACTCCCACACTTCCTTCCTACCTGCAAGTATCCCTTCTAGAAAGGGAAGAATAATTTCAAGTGTCATCTTATAAAGTATTTTAACAGCATATTAAGAGCCTGGAATCAGCCACGAGTAAGTGTGTGTGCTGAAGAGCTGTGTATTCTTCAGATCAAGTTCTCAATGCCAGTTTTATTCAAGCATAATACAGATTTTGCACCAATATCTGGCTACTAATGAGTAAACTATTCCAAATTTATCTCAGGAATTAAAATCTACTTGAACAGTGAAACTTTCCTCCCACATTTATTATGTTACTTTATCAACTCAAATGGTTTGCTATTACTTAAAACTGTCTTCCTAGAGTGTCAGAATTCAAGCTATCACTAGACATCAGAATGCGCCGTTCAACACACTTGGCCAAAAAAGCAAAATGCTTTTACTCTATTTCTGCACAGAACTGTTTCTGAAGGGTAATCAAAATTCACCTTTACCTGCTCTATTAACTTATAGAACACTGCTAGCACATGTTAGACAAAATGTTATGTGCCACTGCTTTGAAACCTTCCTGGTCACTATCCTGAGCTACTGTCTGTCCCATTTCCCCCCTTGTAACAAGTAACTTTTTAGTGGATTACAGTTACTGCAGACGGGAATGCTGACAACCACCCAGAACTGGTACTCAGCATGAGCATCTCTTCCACTGCTAGGTAGAAGGCAGCACAGCACACAAAACCATCCTCAATTTACTACATACCTAAGAATTTTAAAAATTCTCTCCACAGACCTAAAATTGTACAACACTACTTTTGTCCGTGAAAAGGCATAAATTATGAAGTACAAATATTGCTCTGCTGGACCGCCTTCTAAGTGCTTCCAGACAAATTCCCCCACGGAAGGGGAGAAAAAAAAAAAAAAAAAGACAGACCACCACAACCAAACAACACACCAAAACCAGTACTGGTTTGAATTCAAATGAGTGTCTCACCTGCTTCGAGGCCATACAACAGACCGGGACCTGGAGCGTGACCTGGACCTAGATCTGCAAGAAGAACAATGGAAGCTCTACTACCACATGCTTCATACAGGTGAGAACAGAAAACAGTTATTGTAAATGTCCCAGAAGACAGAGAACTTTGCTCATCTATTTGTTTTGCAGAAGTAATTTTTATTATTATAAGGCTGTAGCACCTTTAGTCAGTACTGCCATCCAGGTAAAATGAATCCCACTGTCTTACTGGACTAAGCAATTACACCCTGTACACTACAAGCTGAATTTTGAAACCTTAACCGTGGAGCAAGACTGCAACTCTGGTACAGTGTTGGAAAGAAAAAGTAACATCTCAGAAACAGCACTTCCAAAATTATATGCTTAAATTTTAAACGAAGTATTCAGAGTAGCTCTTACACAGGTAAGACCATAAAGTTTCCTACCAACCTGCGGGCTGCTAAACAAACTTATTGATTACATTATAAATGCTAAATATATATACGTATGTATATATATATATATACACACAGATAGATACTTGATATTTCAGCATGTCCTTCAACAATGCTGTGGGTTTAACAACAACCACATACCTTGACCTTCTTAGAGAACCAGAGCGGGACCTGCGGGGTGAGAACGATCTGTATCTGCGAGGAGACATCGACCGGGACCTGCGGTAGGAAGCTGACCTGGATCTACAAAACAAACCGAAAACCAACCCATCACTGCGAGGTAATTTTCACAACAGCTACAGAAAAAGGAGGAGAGGCCCGCAGAGGAAGCAGTGGAAATGAAAACAGAGAAGGCAGAGCCCTACCTCCTACCACGGCTGCGGCTGCGTGACCGGGAATACCTTCTTCCTCGGGACCTCGAGCGGGATCTGGACCGGGACCTGGGTTTAGGTTAGAAAAAACAGGTATCAGCAGACAGCTGCAGCAACCCACACCTGTACGGCCCTGCTGAAGTCAAAACTTTTTTCAGACAACTAAAAAGAGAATTTAAAAATAAAACAAAAAAAAGAAAAACCAAAAACCAAACCAAACAAAACAAAAACACACCACTAGCATCTGTCAGTTGGAAAAATGTCTGGGCCTACTTGTCTTGAGCATTTTTACTACCTAGAAAAATGTTAAAAGCTGAATTACATTGCAGAATTACATTAGAATAGAAAACACTGTAATGCGTATTTAAAATAAACCTTGCAAGTTTGCAGGTCGACCCTCTTTGGCCCAAGGTCTAGCAGATCTAGACGATCTAGAAGTATCTATAGGCGAGCGCTGCATCTAGGTAGGTGTTCTCTTCAATCTAACGACGATCAAACTGACAGCCCAATGAGCCAGGGTGAGGCTTGATTGACGCAAGAAGATTTTTCTAGGTGGGAATGTGGTCAATCTGGTGTTCCTCTTTCTAAACCGGAGGGGGGCCCCAATTGAATGCCAAATTTACTGTTTACGGCGGTCACCGTCTCAAATTTTCTGCCCTTAAAGAATAAGGTGAAGCTACGTGTAGATGGCTCGAGGGGATCTGGCCTCTTATGCTGATCACCTCAAGGTCTAGGAGGATCTTAAGTGTCGGATTTGCAAGGCGCCTCAGCATGAAATCTTAAGGCTCGTGACATTCTGAATCAAGGCGACTGACTCAAACGAAGAAACCTGAAAGGTTTTGACCAGGTTGATTATTAAGATATTAACATTTTTTATGTATTAGCAAAAAAAAAAAAATAATTTGTGATATACACCTGTTGACTTACGACAATTAGAGTTAAAACTGGTGTAACATTGTGTTCTTTTGCTAACAAGAACTACACAAAAGCGAGCTGGCGAAGCAACGCGGCCGTCCCGGCCCTGCACGTACCTGCTCCTCCTTCGGCGGCTATAGCGGTGACAGTCATAGGCATAGTGGCCTTTCTCACCACACTCGTAACATCTGTCGTTGGGGTCGAAGGGGCGCCGGGCAGGGGGGCGGTCGTAGCGGGAGCGGCGCGGCATCCCTGTGGAAACTTCCACTCTGACCCTGGAGCCGCATATTATCCTGTAAAACACGGCAGCTAATAGCCAAAAGAATGTTCTCCTCTGATGCGCTCAAGCAACGCACATGAGCAATCTATTACTGATGTGGCGTAGGAAGACCGAGGGCTACGGCCCTCACAAAAGTTCCAGACATGCACGTACTTCCCATCGAGGCCAAGCACAGCATCTTCGGCATCCCGGGGGTCTTCGAACTCCACGAAGGCGAACCCCGGCGGGTTCCTGGCGATCCACACGGTTCTCAGCGGTCCGTAGTAGCTGAAGGCTCTCTCGAGCTCGCCTTTGCCGGCGCCCGTGCCCAGGTTCCCCACGTACACCTTGGTCTCTGCGGGGACGAGCGGCCGCCATGTCAGCGCCGGGCACGCGGCCGCCCCTCCCCCGCTCCCTCCCGCCGCCATCTTGGGCACCGCGTCCATCTTAGAGCGCTCCCGCCGGGCCGCGCCCGGCCTGCGCAGCCCCCGCGCCCGCGGCGGCGCCCCCTCCCCTCCCCTCCCCTCCCCGCCACTGCCGCCTCCTCAGCGCCCGCCCGAAGGAGCGACCACATTCTCCCCCCGCCGGAGCGGCACGAGCGCCCCTATTCCCGCCACCTTTCCCCTCATCCCCCTGCCCGCAGCAGACGCCTCCGCGCGGCTCTGAGACTCCCCGGGCTCCCCGCCGTCCCCACCGTATCGCCCGTATCGCGACATCCTCCCGACGACAGAGCGAGCCCGAGCAGGCGCGGCCCTTATATAGAGGAGCAGCCGCTGCGCCTGCGCGCCGCGCGCGGGGCGGGACGGGGCGGGCGCGCGCGGCCTCGCGAGAAGCGGCTCCCGCGCGCGGCCCGGAGGGCTGAGGGGACGTGAGGGCGCGCGTCAGTCCGGGGCTGCTGAGCACAGCGTGCGCCCGCCAGCCCCTGCGACAGCTCCTGGCCGGCCCTGAGGGAGCCGCCAACAGCGTTTGGCACCCCTCATGCGTGACCCAGCATGGCTTCTGCCTGTGCTGAGCGCGAAGGAGGTGATGCCATGGGCCTTACTCCACGTTCAGGAGTGGGCCCTGCCTTGGAACAAGGCATTCCCCAGTTGCTCCAATTCCCTTATGATGGCTCACACCTCGGGTCCATCCCAAGGAGCCTTGGGAGGTTCAGGCCCTGGTTTATCCCCTCGTGCCTGACATGCAGCTGGAGCTGTTGTGTGTTGCCATCTCCCAACCTTTCCAGGGAGACACACACAGTAATGGATGTGCAGCAGACATTTTTTTAAGAAAAAAATCAACACAAACCTGACAGATGAAAAGTAACTGTAGGTAAATGCCAGCACGAATGAGAACAGCCTTTTAAGAACAAGGGTTAGGCAGACTTTCCAGCTGCATTTGAGCACACCAATGTGCTAATCTCCTAATAAGGCAGAACAAATAACTAAGATAAATCAGGGTTCTAAATGTTCCTCACTGCATTAATAATCTCAGGAATAATCACATAATTATTCCTGCATCATGTGTTGGTATAAACTAGAAACACAAACTTAATGAATTGCAACACATTTTCCTTTTACAGAACACTGGTTTCCCAAGCACTGCTGCTCTAAAACAACAAATATAGATAGGTTTTAAATCCTGCTATTTGCCTGCTAACCTTCCCTAATAATTTTACAAACTTGGACGTGCATTGTAATTCATGTTCTAAACTAGGAGAACACTAATGGGAAAAACAAACAAACTGCCAGCCATGTAAACAACAAAACAGTTTTCTGAACATTTTTTTTCAATTTGGTTTGAAAAGTCCAGGTGTCATAATTCTCTTTCTTTAAAGAAAAAAAAAAAGGAAAAAGAATCTGCTAAGCAGTTCAAATACAGGTGTCTTCAGCACTAGATAATTAAACTAGTTTTAAAGGAAAAACAGTTTAAATGTGTTATATATCATCCTTTACAATACCGTTACAAGAACTCTAAACCGACAAATTAAACTGATAAATCAGTTTAGTACAACAGCTTGCTTTCTAATAAAAATAGCCTGGTGCTGACATGGCAGCCACTTGTCCCCGCAGAGACCAAGACTTGTGCTGTGAGTTTATGCTTCTTGTTTTATTCCTTCCTTTACATAAAAAAAAAACAAGACAAAAGTACCTGAAACAGCTTTTTCTGCAAACAGTGAGCATTGACACCCAGGAGAGTTCCTGAAACAGCCCAGTTCCTAAAGCAGGAGAGCTCCTAGAGAGAAGCCTCTGCAGCAGGCTCGGCGCTGCTGCTGCAGGCAGCCCTGCAGCGCTGCAGCCAGCCCTGCAACAGGCCCTGCACGCGGGCCAGGATGATCTCGTTGGCGCTGCTGCACTGCTCGGGGCCGTACGGGGGCTCGATGGTCAGCACCCCCGCCACGCTCAGCGTCCTGCCCAGCTCCCCCTGCTCGCCCACGGGGATGTGGTTTGTCTCCAGCCACGTCTTCAAGGCGTTCTTCCTCTTCTCCAGCTCCTCGGGGCTGTAGGCTTGGCTTTCCTCGGGCTCAAGGATGCGAGCGAGGCGCTGCTTCATGTCACTGTTCCCTTCCTGCAGGATCTCGACCTCCTGGACGGCGTGGCCCATGACAAATGATATGGATCCTTTCTCGTTCTCTGGGAATGTTGCGAGGACAATGCTGTCAAGGAAGGAAGATTGTGTAAGTTCCTGTTCTTAACTGAAGACTGAGAAGCAGCCTCCAAGGTTTTGGAGATAAGAGCTCATTAGCATCAATCTAATCCAGGTATTTAGGCAATACCCAGCACACAGCATTTTCCTTTCAAAAGCATGCTGCTATACCCTTAAAATACTAAAAATGTGGAGCTCTGCAGGGAATTGCTGGTCTTGAATTTGAAACTGCTCTAGACACTATCAAGCAGAATATTAACGTACACTTTGCTTCGAAAAAACAAAGTCTGGAAATCTAAATATTTTTGTGCAGCTTTCCCAACACTACCGAAGAACCTTAAAACATTTCAACATTCAGAAACAGTGGTACTTTCATACATACAGCACTTTGAATGCTGAAGGCAGCTAACAACACCAGAACTTTTTAATGAAAGAACAGTCAGATTTATTGATCATTGCCAAAGGAATACTTTTTTTTTTATGACTGTTGCCAGTTTATAAAATGAAAATACAACAGGAACACACTACAGAAGGCTCCAGGCTCACATTGTAGAAGCATGCTGTTTTCCCAAGGGCACTTGCATCCCAGAAGTCATAAAATGCAAGCAGGAAGGCAGCTGGTTATATTTCTAGGATCTCTCCCTCCTGTATCAACAAACAGCATCAGAAACCATTTTATTCCTCTTGTGAGAAGCACAATTCCAGAACTTGATGTCAGCACTTCATTAGCCTATTATTGCCACCATTAGTGGAAGTAGTGACTTTTTGGGATGTGTTCAGTGAGATATGCCTTGATTTCAGCATGGACCATCACCAGAATCACTCACAGCTGCATGAACCTTCCTTACCAAAATGATAGGAAATTTCACGGGATTATTGGAGCTACTTCAGAGCTGAAGCAACAACCAATTCTTCTGAAACACATCAGAAGCTGAATGTTTTAGTTTCAGCCTCCAGCCTGTGTTCATGTGGGACAAGCTCACATCCAATAAGGTATGAAAGAGCTCTGGCAACAAGGAGACAAATATCTGCCCATTCCCTGGTGCATTTTGCCTTTCAAACCCTGCTTTCAAGTTACTCACTTGGGATACCAGAGATGTGTGCTACCACTTTCTGTCCAGTGCCCCTGATTTTCCCTTCTTGCTCTCCAAAGAAGCCTCAACACCTTCCTGGGCGTTTGGCTGGAGTTGAAAGCCAGGCACCAATTAAAGAACTCTGGACAAAGGCTAAGGATTTCAACACCTAAAGCACCGAAAGCACTCCAGCACCCTTCATAAAGCAGGGTTTGGTATATTACCAAAAGCAATCTTTAGCACATGGATTGCTGAGAGCTAATAGTATAGCTTAATATGTAAGTTTTAAATAAGAGTAAGTCACTTGGAATTATAATACTGTGTGATTTAATATGCTGTTCACTTAGCTTTACTTGCTTAGCATGAGGATCTGGGTTTGCTGAAGCCTTGGCTGCAAGATGTGAACCTTCACCTTGAACACATGCGTTCAGCTGGTAGAGAGCTGATTTTTTCGCAGTTCTCCTACACGCTGGCACAGGGCTGAGTTTTGAATTGACAGTGAGAATAACGTTCCTAGCACACTGATATTTTGATTGTTGCTAAGCAGTGCTTATTCTAAATCATGGACTTTTTAGTTTCCCATGCTCAGCCAGAGATGAGGTGCACAGGAAGTACAAACCAGAAGATAAGAAGGCTGCAGCCATCAGCAGAAGCTGCAACTTAAGATGATAACATGCCATTTTTGCTCCAAGTAAGTTTGCTTCAGCCTTAGAACCTTTTCTCCTCCTAAAAATCTTGTTTTTCATAAAAGCTTTGGTACTTACGTGGCAGAAACTGGGTCAACAGTTAAAACCCATCCTTCATATTCATTTTTCTCAACTGCAACAACTTTCACCAATTTGTTCACATACATTTCCCAGTCTAGAGGGCTTTTTCTCTGCCAGTCATTCATATTTCCTACATCCAGGACCTAGAAAGGAACCAGATCAATCAGCAGATGCAGTCAATCTTTTTGCTTTGCTCTTCACATCAGAACTGGGTTTGCCTCCATGTATAGATTTGTCTTTAGCAAAACTTGCCTTTTTTTTTTTTTTTTTTTTTTTTTTTTTTTTTTAAGCAGACATTCACACAAGTGGTTTGCATAAAGCTGCACTTCTGTAATTCCCCACGGAGTCCGCTTGTTTTTATAGGCACGCAGCAAAGCCTCAGACCCCACTGTCACAGCAAGTGTTGTTCGCTCCTTTCCCGTCCAGCATCCCCAGCCAGCGCTCCGCCGGGAGCGGGGCCGCAGAGCCGTGGGCGCAGCGCGGCTCGGCAGCACCGAGGGCTGCGGGGCGCTTTCTTCCCCGGAATGCCTTTTTTGCTCCTGGTTGTTGAGGTGCTTTTAGCAAGCTTTGCCGTGAAGTGGGAAACTTGATTCCAACATCCACCCCCACCCCACACCTGCCCTATGCCAGCAGTGCTAACACAAAAAATATAAAGGGTATAAAATGAGACCGTCATATTTTGCAGGCTTAAAGGAGCTGTTTCCTTTTTTCCATTCTTTTGAGAGTCTCAATTCAGCCTCTCCAGTACTACAGGGATTGTGTATGAATGGCTTGTACCACTGCATTCAGCTACCTCTTTCTTTCAGCCACGGCTCGTGTATTAGAAAGCAGGGAGAGAAAATCTAATTGTTTTCTAAGAACAAGCACTGGCCTGCACTCCAGAGGCGGCTACGCGCCAGCTGATGGGGATGTCACCTCCAATACTGGATGCGCCCAAGGATCGCTCGCACTCAGGAGATGCCAGGCCAGAGAAGCCCTGCTGGCTGTGCTCCCATCGGGCCGATGACCACCTGCAGCAGCAGCAGCAGCAGCGGCGGGCCGGGCACTCCGCGTTCCCCAGGAAAGGCGCTCCCGTTCCTCCCGCGTTCCCCGGGAAAGGCGCTCCCGTTCCTCCCGCGTTCCCCGGGAAAGGCGCTCCCGTTCCTCCCGCGTTCCCCGGGAAAGGCGCTCCCGTTCCTCCCGCGTTCCCCGGGAAAGGCGCTCCCGTTCCTCCCGCGTTCCCCGGGAAAGGCTCTCCCGTTCCTCCCGCGTTCCCCGGGAAAGGCTCTCCCGTTCCTCCCGCGTTCCCCGGGAAAGGCGCTCCCGTTCCCGCCGCCTCCCCCGTCCCGTCCGGGACCCCGCCCCGCGCATGCGCGCCGCCGCGCGCGGGGGAGGCGGGGGAGTAGGCCAGGGGGCAGGCGCGTGCGGCGGCGCGTGCGCGCGGGCGGCGGAGCCGTCGGGATGTCGCGTTACGGCCGCTATGGAGGCGGTGAGCGCGCCGGGGACCGCGGGCGGCGGGCGGCTACGCGGGTGGGAGGGAGAGACGGCTCGGGGAGAGAGGAGATTACCGCGGGGAACTTGGCGGCCGGCGGGCGCCGGTGGGGAGGGGAGGAAGGCGACGTCGTTGCCGAGGCCGCCGTTGTCGCCGCCGCCATTTTGCGTCAGCGGCCGCGCGGGAGGGCGCGCGGCCGGCGCGCGGCGAAGGCGGGAAGGGGCCGCGCGGACAAGATGGCGGCGGCCGGGGCAGGGCGGGCGGGGGCTGAGCCCGCGCTGAGTCCCGCTCGTCCCCGCAGAGACCAAGGTGTACGTGGGGAACCTGGGCACGGGCGCCGGCAAAGGCGAGCTCGAGAGAGCCTTCAGCTACTACGGACCGCTGAGAACCGTGTGGATCGCCAGGAACCCGCCGGGGTTCGCCTTCGTGGAGTTCGAAGACCCCCGGGATGCCGAAGATGCTGTCCGTGGACTTGACGGGAAGTACGTGTCCTTTTTCCGTGTCTGCCAAAGCTGCCGACAGAGAACCGGGGTTTATCTCGCCGGTCCCTGTGTTCTTCTAGTTCATCACGGACTGAAAGGTTTAACCCAGACCCTTCGTGGACTCGTTCCAGGGTGATCTGCGGCTCCAGGGTCAGAGTGGAAGTTTCCACAGGGATGCCGCGCCGCTCCCGCTACGACCGGCCCCCTGCCCGGCGCCCCTTCGACCCCAACGACAGATGTTACGAGTGTGGTGAGAAAGGCCACTATGCCTATGACTGTCACCGCTATAGCCGCCGAAGGAGGAGCAGGTACGTGCAGGGCTGGGGCAGCCGCGTTGCTTCGCCAGCTCGCTTTTGTGTAGTTCTTGTTAGCAAAGAACACAATGTTACACCAGTTTTCTTTAAAATTTAACGCTAGAATAAATGTATAGGTGTATATTACAATTTGTTGCTATTTCTATCAAATGTTAATATCTTAATAATCAACCTGGTCAAAACCTTTCAGGTTTCTTCGTTTGAGTCAGTCGCCTTGATTCAGAATGTCACGAGCCTTAAGATTTCATGCTGAGGCGCCTTGCAAATCCGACACTTAAGATCCTCCTAGACCTTGAGGTGATCAGCATAAGAGGCCAGATCCCCTCGAGCCATCTACACGTAGCTTCACCTTATTCTTTAAGGGCAGAAAATTTGAGACGGTGACCGCCGTAAACAGTAAATTTGGCATTCAATTGGGGCCCCCCTCCGGTTTAGAAAGAGGAACACCAGATTGACCACATTCCCACCTAGAAAAATCTTCTTGCGTCAATCAAGCCTCACCCTGGCTCATTGGGCTGTCAGTTTGATCGTCGTTAGATTGAAGAGAACACCTACCTAGATGCAGCGCTCGCCTATAGATACTTCTAGATCGTCTAGATCTGCTAGACCTTGGGCCAAAGAGGGTCGACCTGCAAACTTGCAAGGTTTATTTTAAATACGCATTACAGTGTTTTCTATTCTAATGTAATTCTGCAATGTAATTCAGCTTTTAACATTTTTCTAGGTAGTAAAAATGCTCAAGACAAGTAGGCCCAGACATTTTTCCAACTGACAGATGCTAGTTCTTTAGTTGTCTGAAAAAAGTTTTGACTTCAGCAGGGCCGTACAGGTGTGGGTTGCTGCAGCTGTCTGCTGATACCTGTTTTTTCTAACCTAAACCCAGGTCCCGGTCCAGATCCCGCTCGAGGTCCCGAGGAAGAAGGTATTCCCGGTCACGCAGCCGCAGCCGTGGTAGGAGGTGTGTTTGAGTTTGTCTTTTATTCCTGTTGCCTTCTTTTGCCCAGAAAAAGCTATACTTGAACAACTCTCGGAACTGCTTTCTTTGCAGGTCCAGGTCAGCTTCCTATCGTAGGTCCCGGTCCGTGTCTCCTCGTAGGTCCCGGTCTGTGTCTCCCCGCCGGTCGCGGTCGGCTTCCTTGAAGAGATCAAGGTAATTTGGACTAATTTTTACTATTTGGTTTATTTTTGCTTCTGTTTTCTTGTTTTAATTAGATTCCAAAAGGTATTGGATAGCAGATTTCAAAAGATGCTGATCTGTAGAATTCAGCATGCTTTAAAAAGTTTCTGACAATTCTAGGTAAATTTACAGGTGTGCTAATAAGTCTTGAGACCTTACCTTGAGACAGTGGCATATCCCATGATTGAATGTCTTTGTCTAAAATGTCTAATGATCATGTACGTATATGATCATGTAAGTCTTAAGTTCACAAATAGACAATTTATATAGTGCTGTTATTGTCATTACTTTTTCTTGAGTTTATTTGTTTTTAATTTATCTCAATTTTTTTATTTCAGGTCTAGATCAAGATCCAGATCTAGATCCAGATCTGTTACATGGCCCCGAAGCAGGTATGTGACTATAGGTAGTTGGTAAAAGTTGCTTAAAAGTCTCATTAGGCTCTCTAAGAACTGTTAAGGTTTTTTCCAGAAAAAGATGTGTTTTCCCTCCACTAACCTGGGGGTCTGTAGTTTTAAAATGCAGTGCAGAAGATTGTTCTTCCTCTTTTTATTCTTTTGCATACCACTAACATCTAGATAACCATAGTCATCACAAATACTGGTTTGATTCGGTTGCATTAACAGCTAACAAATGTAGAATTAATCTCAAAAGTTTATTTTTCTTTGTGTAGCAGTCACAAGATTATGGATTCTTCCCATTATTTTTCCGAGAAAGCAAGATACCCTTCAGTAATGTTTTATTGTCTGCAGCCAGGCAAGGCTTGAAGGGCTTGCTGGTGTCCTGAGTGTTACAGCTGCAGTTCCAGCTCTGTTGAATATCAGTGTCAGTCTGCAGGAGCTGATTTTGACTTGAGATAAAGATCTGTCAGAATTATTGTTCACCAATAAACGTGTCACAAGGTAACAGATTCTAAAGGAGCACGGGATGCTATTTGTTCCCTTAAACTTTACTTGATAGTAAGTAAGTGCAGCCTGTGCTTCATGGAGCCTTGTCCTGGCAGCAGGGCTGACTGGGTGTCCTAGACAAGAACAAGAGTGAATGGAAATTCTGCTCTGGATATGTAGTTGCTTATGGCCCAGCCTGTCCTTGTGCCTGCTGTGCTGGTTTTAATGGCTGCTCTTTGAAACAAGGAACAATCAACCATGAAGAAATACTAAAATACAGGATGGCTTCAGCTAAAGGGAGCAGGTGGAAAAGCCCACAACTGAAGGTGGCATTTTCTGAGGACAGCAAGCAATGATGGGAGTTGTAAGGGAAAAGAGAGATGAAGACCAGATGGCTTAATTAAGAGCAGAAACTCACACAAATAGTCCAGAAGCTGGTAAAGAGGGAAGAACATTGCCCAAGGCAGCATAGCAGTGCATTTCTGTGGTTAAACCATGTTGAATCTTTGTGCTGGTTGTTCCAACATGACTTCATCATGGCTTATCCCTGTCCACTGTCAGTGGTGAGCCAGAAACAGCTATAGTCAGCAGACCCTAAAAGAGGAAAACATCTTAATTTACCGCCACTGTTTTCTCTTTTTGGTACTGTGCTGGTTTTCTGCAAGGTAAAGGATACTTGTAGTGACACTTCTGGACTATTGTGTGACACTTTGCATTGTAAGTAGGGATTAAGTGACTGAGGCACAGGAAGTTAGAGATGTACAACTAGACAGACGTGGCAAAAGAATTCTGCTTATGTAACTGAAATATTATTTCTTCACAGAAGAGTCTAAGGAATGCATTGCACCCAGAGACAGGCTCTGGGTTCATGAGGGAGACCGACTAAATGAGTACATTACATTGGCTGGTTTGACAGTGTCACAACACACATCTGGAAATTGTTGTGGAAAGCCTTGGATGTGGAATGTAGAGCACTTGGGAGACCTCAAAATTTCAGTGAGGCTTTCAGGCAGCATTAGTGTTCTGTGGTGCAGCAGCCTCAAAGGTGGACATTTCCCACATTTTTTCCATAAGAATTAAGTTCAAATGTTAAAAAAAAACAAAAACAAAACAAACAAAAAAAAAACCCAAAAACAAACCCCCCCCAAAAAAAAAACTTCAAGTAAGTGGATATATAAGAGGAACTTCACAGAGAAGATATTTCTAGGAATGAGCTGTCTGCAACTGCAGTGGCAGATACTGCTCAAGTCTAATAAGACCTGCAAGTTTAGAGCATGGCTTTTTATTAGTTCTCTGAAAATACTGGTCAGGATTTGGGTTGTTCCTGTGTTCCTGCCACCTGCATCAGCAAACACTGGTCATCAGCTAGGGACCAAAGTACAGAGCAACATGTGCAGCATCCATTTAAAAACATTTTAGAAACTTAGCAGGCAAAACCCTGGAAATGTGCAGGATTCTGTGTATTCAGCATGACAGTGCTCATCCACTGAGCATGAGTCCTGTCCTAGATATGGGAACCTGCATGCTCTTGTTTCCCTGCTGAGCTGTGTCTTTCCTTGCAGGTCTAGGTCTCATGGCAGATCAAAGTCTGGCTCACCGGCTAAGAGGTGAGCACACACACACAGAGCCTGCAGTAGCATCTCAGATTTAGGTTTGCATGATTAACACAGCCTGGTCCTTTAGAAAAATATCCCCCTAACAGGGGTCCCCAGCTAATTTCTTTGTGATATGACAGAAATTATAGCATTTCCTCTGCAGCTCTTGGGAATGTGTTCCTTATCTGTCTCTGGGTTTTCATTAACTCTTTGTGGTTTCCAACATAGTACTAATTTTTTGTGCCTTGGTACTCGGTCCTGTTAAATTTTTCTGTCAATGAGATAAAGAGCTTGAACTGTGTTAGTGCTTTTCTTAAAACAGCAATCCGGTGGTGTTGCTTTTCGCAAAGCCTCACCTTAGTACCACCCCTTGATTTTCTGTTTGCTGAAGAAAGTTGCTTAAAATGCATCTCCACACTAAATAAATGGAGAATCCCTGTCAGAGTAAAAGTTGATCTGAAAACTCAGATGGGAAAGACCTTCTGGCTAGATTCTTTATGATTTGCTTTCTGATTGGTTGGGGCTTTTTTAAACATAAGAGTTGCATTTGACATTTGAGCTGCATTGATGCTGTTCTGTTCTGGCAGCCGGTCGAAGTCCCGGTCACCGTCTCCAAAGAGAAGGTACGTTGGTCTCCCTACTGATAGCATAGACTCCGTAGAGTTGGCATTTTAGTGTCTCACTGATCTCTGCTGAGGAGTGTGACTGCTGCTTGTAGGAAAGTACTGAAAGGTATTTTGCTGAGATCTCTTTCACAGCAATAATGTGGTTGTGGCTTTCTATATGGTAATATGTATGTGGTGATAAATGCTCAGGGTTATGTAGCAGTGTCTTGTCTGCTCCCCTGTTCCTTTTGTTCCCCTTGGTTCCAATAAAACTGACAGTTGTATTGCACAGAGACTGATGAGCTTAAAGCACAGAATAAATGTAGGAAATCAGCTTTCAGTCTCATTAAAAGCTACACTGACATTGGGGAAGGTAGAGTGGAGTACCCTGGCACAGCAGTCGAGGAATGGAAGATCGGACCTCTTATGTTCACTGCTGTTAGATTATTTTTTCTTTTGCAGTAAGTCAGTAAATAGTTTTCTCTCTCTGTGTATATGCACAGAGTAATGTGTAGAATATGTGGGACAGAATCAGCAGCATTTTTTCTCTAATTAGAATTCTTTAATAGATGATTTTTACAAGTTTAATGTCAATCACAAGAGCATCAAAGAATACTCATAAATGCTGGGTGATTGCCATGACAGGTTTTGACAAGCTGCCGTATCAGAGCAGTGAAGAAGTATCATGCCCCTTCAGAGGTCGCTGAAAGTAATACCCTTTAAATGGCCTTACAGTGGTCTCATTTTAAAAATAACAGTAAAGAAAAAAAGTGTTATCTCTAGATCATCAACTTGTTAACTTTTGTCAATAGTGATTGGTTATTTTATTTTAAAAGTGCTTAAAGAGAGCCAGAGTCTGGCATACTCTTGTTGCTTTTCCTGTATTTGTGATTCCCGAGCAATTACTGAAATGTTAATTGTGGATTGTTTTCCTTTCAGCCGTTCACCATCAGGAAGCCCTCAACGAAGTGCAAGTCCTGAAAGAATGGATTAAAGTTATGAAGTTAATCTTTTAGGAAGAAAGCTATTTTGCTTACATTATTATAAGGGATTTTGTGGTGTCTTTGTAAATGTAAGAATGTAGATAGAAGAGTATATCAACTAAAATTTGGCATGATCTGGGTCTTCTGAGTTAGTCACACCAATAGACTAGCACAGGTCTCTTTTTATTGTATGAATTAACTTCCTGTGATACGAAAATGTGGGACTTTTTTATTGGCACATTGAAATAAAATGTGTATTTTTAACTAAAACTTCTCTGTAGTAACCCTGCTGCTTCTGTTAATGATTGGGTAATTTTAGCTGTGTGCCATGTAATGTGGATGAAAAATGTCAAAAATGGGAATCACTAATCCCAGCTGGTGTCTTCTCAAGGTAGTCACTTTTCACATCTACTGCTGAATGTCTTTGGTGAAAGGATTCCTGTTCTCTTTGAAATGGAATTTAGAATCCATCTCTGTCTGCAGATGGATAAAAATTTGCATATACCCTTTTCATTCCTTGATATTTAGAGGGCACTCATTTTTCTGCCTGATCTGCTTATTCTGCAAAGCTCATTCTCTGGTGTTTGACTGTTGATACCAGATGGCCCAAAAATGTAAGGATAAACTTGCCTCCCAAACACATCTTTTAAGCAACTAACATCTGCAGAAACCTCTAAAGGTAATAGAAATCATTAATAACTGGACATTTGCTAGTTTCACTTCTTGCATTTTTTAGTTCTTTAGGCTATTGATGTAAAGAAAACTTTTTAAAATATCTGAAGGTGTGTTTTCCTTTTTTGAGGGAAGGTCCTTAAAATGAAAGAATCTCAGCTGCCCTCCGGAGTTCTAACCTGCTTCACAGAAACTGGTATGGTTGTCAAGCAGCCCATATCACGGAGATGCCTTTGTTGAATGATCCCAATTTCTTGCAGCAAATACACAACCTGCAGGAGTCTTTATTTGTGTATAGGTGTGTCCAATTGTCCTCATTCTGTATGAAGGAATTGCATGATAAAGCACTTCAACACAGATCACAGCAAGGGACTGGCAACAATGTTGGACTGTGAACAGTAGGGTAGGCAGAGAGGTGAAAAGCATCTTTTCTTTTTGCTGCGATTGGCTATCTAGTAGAAATAAAGGCCAGTTTCAGCAACAAGTAAGCACTGAAATGGAAAGCCAGGCCTGTTTGGGCTTAATGAAATCTATCATAGCAGTTTGCTTCTACTGTGTAAACCACAGCAGAACAGTTTATAAATGAAATTACAAGAAGATTTTGTTGCACGTGGGGTAACGTGTGGTTCTGAAGAAACAGATTTCCTGTTAATAATGACTGCATGGAGCTCTTCTGGTGGATGAGTCAACAGTGCAGATCCTGAAGGTGCTGTTCGCTGCAGCGTCCTCTGGCCTTTCTGGTCCTTGCTGTGCCTGGATCCTCTCCAGGGCTCACCATGGCCATTGGTGTTCCCAGTGGATTCTGGCCATACTCACCACATCCCACTGTGGCGGGCTGATACAAATGTTACCCTGCAGCCCAAATGCCTGAAGCCTGTGATACGTGTTTGGAATATTTTACTGGTTGTGCATTGTGTACCTGGTGCGAGGCACATGTACGGCACTGCTCTGGAATTTCATCACCTTTTCTTTTCTGTACTCAAGGCGAACCTGCTCTGCTCCACAATAAACCTGCAGACTGACCCGACAGCTCTACTGGTACCTGTTTTTCAGTACCCAGAGACACTGGAAGACCGAGCAGAAGAGCCTTGGGTCTCTCTAGGGGGGCTGGGGTTCCTCTAAACCCATATATGAGAGCCTGAGCAAGTAGTGGGGCTGTGGGGCTGGAGGCAGCCACTCCAAAGGACAGCCACGACTTTGAAAGGTGCAGAAAGGGAGCAGTGACGAAGGTCACATCTGTGCTTTTGTGCAGCTGTACTGTCCAAAATTGAGCTCTGTCCTGAGTTTGGTAGGATTTCACCACAACTTCCATGCAGTGTTTGTGAGCAATTGGAAAAGATCCCCTGACACAAGGGTGAGTTGTGGGACTGGTGCTGTGCTTCCCTGTGCCACTAGGCAGGATGTGTACACCCACAGGCTGGCTGGGGCTGGAGGAGCAAGGGAAGTGTATCTGAGGTCTCCAGTGTGGTGGGCAAACCCTGCTCTCAGGGAAAATGAGGTTCTCCTGGTTTCCAACCTGGTGCTCCCTATTGGTGGGCTTTGTTCTCCAAGGGGTACCAGCCCTCACAGACAATATGACCACTGCTATGCACTGCAGGAGAGAAGCAGGGCTGTCAGGGTGGCAGAACTGACTGTGACAGAGCTGCCACATTTGCAAGCCCAGTGGCCAGGCACTTCCCCTGCATCTCTGAAGCTGAGGAAGCATGGTGAAGTGCTGCAGGCCCTGGGTGCAGCAGCATGGCAGGAGAAGGTGGGACACGATGCCTAATGCAAGGACTGTCAGCCTGTTTCCCTGGGGAGTGGGCTACCAGCTCCCTAAAAGGATGGTGCTGTCATCCCCTGGCTTGTGCCAATTTTTCTGAACCCTCAGAAACATGGAGGTTTTCATCAGATAGTTCCCTCATACAGGGTTTTGGAGATTTCATGTGGAAACAGTGCTAGGATTACAGGTTTTCTCCTGCAGTTGTATATTCAGGACTAAATGGGTGTGCCCACTTCACTTCAGCAACGAAGACGAAGACGGAGCATAGGAGTTTAACCAGAGCATCCAGGGCAGCCAGCTGGGATAATCCCAGCACACTGTCCTCCTCAAAGCTGTCCTGCATAAGCACTGCACACCACTTAGAGCACTTTGATGGAAGGAGCAGATGTTGTAACAACCACAACTGCATCAGCCTTCCCACATGCTCCACATGAATATTACCAGATATTCCCCTGCTGTAGTTGGAGCTGTGATGTCATGCCCCTAAACAAGGTGTTTTCAGTGCATTTTTACTTCAAAACAAAACCCAATGCCCAGGGTGAGAGGCTGGACAGAGTGTGAGACTTTTGCACAGACCAGACAGCAGCAGAGGTGGTGACAGGAGCTAAAGCCAGCGGAAACCACATGTGAAAACCACAGAGGATAAAGGCTCCTGTATCAGATGCATCACCCAGGGTAGCTGGAAAGCTCTGTTTGGCACCTGGCAGGACTTCTGCTCAGCTGCTGGAGGCACTTACCCCTCTCAGTGCTGGGAGTCAGCAGCCCTTCTCCTCAAGCAGTGCTGAACACGAGCCACGTGCTGTGGTTGTATTCCTCACCCGGATGGAGCAGGACATTGGGGAAGTGAGGCTAGGGAGAAACAGCAGCATATCAGTGACTGAACACATTCCATTCCGTGGGACCAAAAAGCATGGCTGCATGCCCTTGTTCTTCCCAAGGCATATTCCCACAGCTGCCCCCAGCCATTTCCAGCAGCAGTGTGTAACCACACACGACTTGCCCGTGGGCTGAGTGGGTGAGTCCCACTGCTGGTTGAATCCAGGCAGAGGATCTGGCAAGGCCCAGCGGGGCCATCTGCTCTAGACCCCACAGCTTTGGGAAGTTGGGCTGCACAGGGCCAGTCCCTGCTGTGCTGACTGACCCCTGTCTAAAGCCACGGTGACCTTTGCCTGCCTCACTTCTGGCGTCTGCAGTGTCCCCTTGAGAAGCACTGCTCCTCCATTTAGTGCCCTAGAGACATGGAGGGTGGTGGGGATATGTCCCAAGTGACCGTGGGAGGGGAATGGACAGCTCACCTTGTTAACGGCATCGGGCCAGTTCTGGGTTTCCAGGCAGAAAGCCGAGTGCCTGGGGTACGTGGCAGCACCTTTGCCCTTCAGGGAGCCATCCAAGTTGTTCCCAGTGTAAAACTGGATGCCAGGCTGGGTGGTGTGAACCTCCATGATCCTGCCAGAGGGCGGGTGGAAAACCCTGCAGAGATGCCAACGGAGGATGACATGGGACTGGCTGAACAGGCACCTCTTGGCTCCAGGGGTGGGGACTCCTGCCAAGGTCCCAGCCTACCTGGCCACAAGGCGTCGATCCTGCCCCTGATGCAGGCAGAAGTTGTGGTCAAAGCCATCCAGGTGAAACTTCTGCAAGTGCTTGCCCAGCTCCACAGGCTGCCGGAGATCAAAGCCAGTGCCCTGCACAGCGGCCACCTCCCCTAAGCAAGGGGAACAGCAGGCTCAGCCACTCAGCCACATGCCAGCAAACCCTACCCCTGGGGACACTGCTGTACTTAGCAGGGACAAAGCACAGACAAGGAGCAAGAAAATGCATGAAAGATTGTATATGTACAAACCCAGCATTTTCTCCCTTGTCCTTGTTAAGACTGCTGTGGGCATACAGTGTCCTGTGATAAAGCAATACAAACAACCCCAGGACATACTAAATACAGTGCAAAACAGTCACCCCAACCCAAAAGTGAGGGGTTTTTCATGGAGGGCAGAGTAAATGCCTTGAAAAAAAAAAAAAAAGAAACTTTCCAATTCAGGCACTTACATAAAATACAGCAGGCATTGCACACAATGTGTCTATCTTTAATAATTGCACAAATCTTATTTTCACCCCAAGACTAAGACTACCCACACAAGAAGGAGATGCAAAAGGCAGTCATAGCAAGCTGGCCACAACTAAGATGTGAAACAGCTCCATGGTGAAAGCAGCAGGGAGAAGTCAGCCACTGGATTGGGTATGCCTTAAGCTCTTCCCCTATCTGTCCACAAGCATGGCACATCAAGCTGAGCAGAGGCCGCCTGGACAGAAGAATCCACTCCTCCAAATCCACAGGGAGCTTGTTTCCTGAATGGACTCACATAACAACCTGACATCCCCTGTGCCTCTGGCCCCATTTCCTGCTGCTCTTGCTTGCTCCCTGGGGCTGGTGATGGACCCGGTTACCGGCACCTGGTGCTGCCCACCCTGCTCACATGTAGTGGGACTGCACCCAAAGGTGAGGGCCCCGCTGTGCCTGGGGTCCCCTGGGTGCTGGTGTGCCCCCCTTGCCAGGCAGTGCTGCTGCCCACACCCACCAACAGTGCTCAGAAGGATCACTTCCACCTGGTGCCACAAGCGCGGCACTGCCTACCAGTAGGGATCTGGGTGTCGTCCACAGGCAGGTAGGAATCTGCTTCAATGGAGATCTCGTGGTCATAGACATCCCGGGAGCCCTGCAGGAGGATGGGAAATGCTGGGATTCCTCTTGCAGCCACTGTTTAAGCAGCCCTAAGCACAGTTGTGAAATCATAGTCCACAGTGCTGCCCCAGCTGATGTGGTAGTGCCTGGAGCACCTCCTGACCCTCATTTCACCTTGATCTTGGGCACAGGACAAAGGCACTAGCCCAGGCAAAAACCTTCATGGGCCATAGGAGCTGTAAATCCCACAGGGATGGGGCCATCAGTCTGTACTAGTTAGTACCTCACTGAGGGCTACCACCCTGCAGAGTGATGAGCAAAACATGCTGGGTACTGAGCACACAGCAGCAGGGAGAAGGGGAAGGAAGCAAGCAAGGGGAAATGCAACCGATCCTCCTGTCTCATCTGCATCACTGCGGGGGTGAGCTCCTCCTCCTCTTCCACAGCCTCAGGAGTGCAGGCAGGGAACCTGCTGGGCTGGAAGGGGAGCAGGCTCAAAGCTGAGCCTTCAGGTCACTATCTAATCTGAGCAGCAATTTTGTGCCCAAAGGTCTCCTGTTCCTCTGGAGCACACCTGAGTTGCATGCTGCACGTGCTGGTATTGCTGCACCTCTGGGAGCACCAGCAACAACAACTGCACAGCCATTCTCAGGGCAGCAGCCTGGGCACAGCTCCTGCTCAGAGGGGCTGGGCTGTCTCTCACAAACACTTTTAAGGGCCTTTTTCTCACATCCAAATGTGACTGCACTGTGTTATCCTATGGCTCTGCCCAGCAACACTTTATTTCTCAGATCCTTTTCCTCCAAGCACAGTTATAAACTGTGAGATTGAGACACAGCTGCAATTCACTGTCCATGTGGTTGACAAGACCCTGTGCAGGTGTGTAGGAGCCGTCTGCATCCTGCTGCTGCAGCCTTGCTAGGTGCAATCCTGGCTACCTTACATCCCCTTTCTGTGATGTTTCTTCTGCCCATTTTGACCTGGGTGTTTTGGTGCTGCCACTCCAGGCCCTGATTTCAACCTGCATCACCCTTTCAGAAATGCCAGCAGAACACAACTAAGAAATGCCAGGCCACCACCAGGGCATGCCAGCTCTGCACCTCCTCCTTAATCTTCCCAAATGACCAAGAGAGAGCAAAACTCCCCAGTTACACACAAAAGAAGAACTATCATGCTCAGCTGGATGCAGACAACGTGTCCTCAGCTGAGATCCACATGATTCAGTCCTGTTCCTGCATGCAGCCCATGATGCACTGAGACAACCTTCACTGCTGTGTCCCCAAAACCATGATGTGTCCCCAGACCAGCAGGTTGGTGCCAATGACCATCCCATCCCCAGGCTTTCTTCCCCTGCACAGTGTGTCTCCACGGGGCCCATCTCCCCACACTTACCTGCCCCGCCAGGTTGAAGTACGTGTGGTTTGTCAGGCTGATGGGGGTCGTCTTGCTGCTCTGGGCCTGGTAGTTGATGGCCAGCTCCCTGCCACTAAGGGTGTAGGTCACCCAGACCTTCAGGTCACCAGGGTAGCCTTCCTCGCCATCGGGGCTGAGCCGGAAGAAGCGGACACCATTTGGGAGCACCTGGGCGCTCCAGAGAACCTGCACGGAACACGGCCTTGGTGGGACAGGAATAGGAACACAGAGCCCTTCCCTTCTGCCCCAGGCTCGGCTAAAAACAGGGACAAAAGGCACACAAGGGATGTTGCACTGAAACAAAGGCTTTTTCAATCACCTTTCCAAGGAAAACACAAGCACCAGCCAGGTGGCTTGGTCAGCCAGGACCACCAGCAGGGAACAAGCTTTCCACTGTGCAGCCAAACAAAGGAGGTAATTTGGCAGTCTGACAAGAGTCTGTTCCAGCCTGTGTTATGCCATGACTGAGAGTCCACACGTTTGGTTTTTGCCCTGCATCTGGACTTACCCCCTTTCCATGGATTTTCTCATGTGCAACACCACTTCAACAAGCTGCCATCCAGGCACTGGCTTCTAGGACAGTAAGAACACACTGGGGGCTCCTGCTCAGGGCCTGGGGTTGGGCTAAATGGTACCAGATCTGCTGTCAGACACATCCAGAGACCTGGGACCTCTCTGGTTCTTGTCCCTGCCAGAGACCAGCACCAGTACTCAGCTTGGAGCCAAACATGCTGGCAAGGGAAGCAAGCCAGCACACTGCTGCCCTGACAGCCTGTTTGGCCCGGGCCATGGGCCTCATGCTGGGAGGATGGATGTGCAACAGGAGGCTCTCTGAAGCCTCACATTTCCCTGAGGAATAGTTACTGTCTAATCAAAGTGGACAGATTTAGGAACAAGGGCCAAGACAGCGCTGTTGAGTTGATCCCTCTCATGTCCTACAAAGAGATCACCAACATGGGGCATGATCAAAAGCCAGCATTTTCACCAAACACAGAACCTAAGGGTAACCAATACACCTGGCTGCAGAGTAGGCCCTCCTACAAAGTATGCAGTTTGACTGCAGTTCCCACAGCTACAGTAAGGATGCTGCGGCTTTTAAATATGAGTTCTATTTAAGTTCTTTGGAAAAAAAAACCTATTAAAGTCCAGGAAACGTACAGGTATCACTATTTTTTTCTAAGATAAGAGAGTTATTTTCAAAAATCCACCAGCACACTGCAGCCCTGTAAGTGCAGCTGCAGGATGCTCTCATCAGACCACATGCTGACTGCAGCACTGATGTCTGCAAAATCAGGAAAAGCTCAGAAGACGACCAAGATAATCACAGCTAAGTGCCAGTGTGTGTTTTTTGTTAGGGTTGACCAGTTAGGGCTCACTGTCTCTGAACAATGCCTGTTTCTTGGCTGGAGGGGGTCTTGGGCAGGTGTCCAAGCACGCCCTGTGGGCCAGAGGACACAAAGCTCCAGCTGGGAGATGTCACTACCTTGTCCCCAGTAAGCTGATGAGACTTCAGCAAGTAAGAAAGGTAAAGAAGCAGAAGAAGAGACCACATCCCCTGACTGCAGAAGACAGCCTGGAAGGCCTGGGTGTGAAGAAATGTATGTTTTCAGCTGCAGATCACAGGTGTCAGGGTGTATAAAGAAACTTTAAACCAACCAAACTGTCCTCTTTGGAGGTACAACAGCCAAGCTATCCGCAGTACTCCCTTTTTTCTAAGGCTGCTGAGGAGCATTTCATCCCAGCCTGATGCCAGTTCACACTGTGATTTTTTTTTTTTTTTCAGGCACCCTGGCTTTTTTCCCATCAGCCTGGATTCCTCTCACAAAAAAACCCCATTAACCCCATGAAAGCAGCTGCACCAGCACATTCATGTGCTTTTTGGGGGAAATGGCGGATCAGCTACTTGCTGGTTACAAATGTACTTCATCCAAAAAACCCCAAGGCTTCAGGAGAGACTTCTGAGCCTGCTCTGCAATGGAGCAGGGTTATCAGCAAGGCTTTCAAGAGAAGAGGTCCTCCACTGCTCTTACCATCTGTATACAAATACCTGACTTGAGCAGCAGCTCTTGGGAGGAGAGAGAAAAAGCTGCATGCCCTGGGGCCAGGGAAAGGTTGTCAGAAGGAGGTCATAGGGGAGGGCTAGGAAGGAGAGACAGTGATCCTGGATCCTGGGGCATTCTGCAGGCCTGATCTAATCCCCTCTGCTGTGAGGCAGAGGGAGAGCCTGGGGGATGCTGTCGCAGGATGGAAACTGCACCAAAGGGGGCAATGCAATGACTGAACCTGCAGCACCACCCTGCTCTTCCCTTACTGGGGAGTGCTGTCACAGGCAAGCAACAATGATAAGTTTCTGCAAACCCATGTCCTTCTGACTCTGGGAGGAGCTATGGGCAGGTAGCAGCCGTGAGACTGCAGGTGGAAATGAGTCTGCATGGACAGACCACTGTTCCCCAGGAAGCTTTCTTTGGGCACGTGAACAACTCCATCTCACATCCAGGGTGGTGCAGCTGGTGCCTGAGGAGCCTCCATTGCTCCTGGGCTGGTCCTCACTGCTGTGTCCCAACCTAGGCTGTGCAGAAGCAGCCCAGGACAGCCCTTGCCCAGAGCAACCCTGTCAGAACTCAGGGGCTCATGAGGCTCAGGGCTGCAGTCACACAGAGGAAGCACAGCAACCCTCAGCTTGGCATCCAAGGATGACATAAGTGAGTCCTGCAAACGGCAAAGACAAGCCAACCCAGCAGCCTGCAGGGTCTCACTTCCCCGTGTTTCTGCACTCACAGCACTTTCTGAGCTGATTCAGCTCAGTAACCAGCAGGAAATTCTACAGGGTTCAGGAGTGTAGGCATCACACACTCTTGCCACAACCCCACAGGTTGTATGCTGACAGGACACTGGAATTTTCACCTTGTCAAATCCCTTGGCTCCTCCATGCAGGCTGTTGGGCCCATTATTGAGGAACAGCTGATACTCTTTCCCGTCCAGGCTGAACCTCCCGTTTGCAATCCTGTTGGCAACACGGCCCACGACAGCACCGAAGAACGGGTGCTTCCTCGTGTAACCTGGCCACAGAAACAGCACACGGTTAAACAGAACCATGGGAACAGGACGGGCGGTCTCCAGGAGTCTGCAATCCCAGCGTTTCACAGGACACACAGCTCGATAGTCCTGTGCATCTTTGATTAACACAGCCTGATGGGATCTTGTATTTGCAGATTTGAAGAAAAGGCCTCTGTCATTGCCAGGTAAGGAATGACTCAGATCTGCCACAACAGAGTGGCACACCACCACCACCACTGTCCCAGTTCCACATCCACCACAGAGCCCAGGAAAGGCAGCAGGAACTGTATCTAATTATCTCTTCAGCCCATGATTTTGGGGAGGTGGGGAGGGGTGGAGGGGGCCTTACAAGGAAGTCACACAGTATGGCAATAAAGCAGTAAGTGCTGGTTAAACTTCCCGATTGTGCGTTTTTAATTATTTTTTTTTTAAGAAATGTATTAAGACCCACCTTCTAAAGTGTCAAATCCTAGGACAACATCAGAAAACTGCCCATCCCTGTCTTTTGTCTCCAGAGTGGTGATGATGCACCCAAAGGACAGGATCTCCACTCTCACGCTGTCCGACTGTAAGACGAACTTCTCCACCTCTCCGCCTCCCTCCTCCGGGGCCATCCGCCCGAACGCCTCTCTCCGCACCGCCGTCATCGCTCCCTAAAGCCGGCCCCTCCGCGGGAGCCGCAGCAGGACGGAGCCCGGGAGGAAGGAGCAATGGCGGCGGCAGCGGAGCGCTCCCGGTCCAAGGGCAGCCAGAACAGCCCGTTCGCTCCCGCGGGGCGGAGCGGAGCCGCGCCCGGGGCCGCACCGGGGCAGCCCCTCGGGGGCGGCCGGGGCAGCGGGAGGATGCCGGGGGAGCGAGCGAGGCGGCGGCTGCGCTGCGCGGCCCCTTCGAGGGCCGAAGCATCGCCTGCAGCAGCTCCCCTCGCCCGCTGCCGTCACACCGACACGGCTTCCACGGCCCGTGCACGGCGTGGCATGACCCAGTGCTGTTTGCTCCCCTTGTGCCCTCCCTTAGCCCCCGCACAAGGCAGCGCCTGCTGATGGGGCTGTAAATCAGGCTCAGAGCATTTGCTGGCCGGGGGGCTGCTATTATCAAAGCTGTGGCTCCGGCCCAGACTCCATCAAAACTCATCATCCTCTGAAATACTGATTTCTGCAGTCTTTGCAGGTATTTTCAGTCTGCAGGAAAAACCCCGGCAACATTTAAGTAATGTATGTGCACATTTTTGACCTCTCTAGTGCAAAGCAAAAGAGCACCTCACTACTATTTGTATTCCTATGAGGGCCCATTTTCAATATTTGTTCAAATAACCAATAACTCACATCAAAAAACCTGAACCCGTCAACCAGAGGTTGCTAAATATTAATTTCTAACACATCCATTATCTTTTGACAAGACCAACTACAAATTCCAAGTGAACACAGAAACCAAACCTCCCACCTGGGGCTGGGCAGAGATGGTTTGGAAATCTGCACTTCTTTGTTAGCAAAGGCAGTTCCTGTGTTTCCTTCTGCACCTTCACAACCCGTGCTCTCTGTCCACAAACGACATTTGAAGCAAACATACCTTTTTTCTGCTCATCAGTATCACCTCCCATGTGAGACAGGATAGGGAGCAGGCCAGATTTTGCAATTAGGAAGGCTCCAGATGGATGGATGGATGGATGGATGGACAGATGGATGAAAAGTCAGTGTCATTTATAACTGATTCATGGAGTGTTTTCATGTGCAGAACATTCCAGAAGTTTGCTCCTTAGCACTTCAACTCCCTCAAGACCTCTCTCCTCGTGTACTTCTCCAGACACAGGAAGCATTTCTGCTCTGCAAAGACAAGATTTCATTGAGCTGTGGGTTTTTAACACAAGAGGAGCTGCCATTTTCATTTACTTCTCTGATTCACACCAGAAAAGGTCCAGATCCAGCTCTTTGATGTAACAGTCATGAACACTGATTTTCTCGCCTCCCTTCACAGATGCAAGACCACTCGAGCCCCAGTGGCCATCTAAGGCTGTGTGCTTGCAAAAGCAATACCAGGGACAAATCTGTTTGTGAACCAGCCACACGATTTTCAAGCTGGCAGATAAAAACTAGAGCAGAAACCAGCTTGCACAAGCCTGAATCCTGCAGGGAACAGTAAGGAGCAATGTCAGCTTCAGGAGCTCAGCAAGGTATTCCAAGAATCTTGCTTCATGACTTTGAGGATTACTCATGGCTCACCTCTGAATGCATCCTGCCCCTCTGCCGCTGGTGAATGGGGGGAGGTGGAGAAAGGGCAGAGCAGGGAACAAGCAAGTCCTGTTCAACATCTCACCACCCTAGATTTCCTTTTTAGTCATTCCTATTTTTAAGAAAGTGGGGTTTTGGGGCCTTGTTCAACACTGAGTTTTGCTTATACTGATGGTCAAATGCAAGCTTCCTTTCATTTTCTCCTCTTTCTTTCCAGAAGAATATTGCAGTACTGGGCCTGAACACACCTGGCATTGGCAGCAGGGCACTTCCACAGCTCAGAAGAGCTCGCTATTCATCTCTGAGACTTTGGTTTCACTTCTCTGCCTTGCAGCTCTGCACACGCAGTTGGGCAGAGCTCACCAGCTCTTTAGTCCTTATCTGCCCTCTCTCACATTTGGAAAATGCAGCAGCCTTTCCCAAGACAAAATGCAAAATGCTGGTGAGGAACAAGGATTTATCTGCTCTAACAGCAGGTATAGAAAAAGTGTGACATGAAGGCAGGTTATGTATCTGGTCCCACTGATCCCGGCTCCTCGACACCAGGCAAGACATTTCTGTTTAGTACAAAAGGCAAACTGGAAAGTCAGCCTGTGAGTGGTCCTGTCTTTCCCCCACCACAAAGCTGGTAAAAAGGTACACTGTGAAAAAGAAATTTGTTGTTGTTGTTGTTTGTTTTGGGTTTTTTGTTTGGTTTTGTTTCATTTTGTTTTTTGTTTAGGGGAGCCATTTAACACACTATCAACTCCTAACACATAATAAAGTTATGAGAAAAATTACAGAGGAGAATTTATTTCCCTGGGATCAGAAGCTTGGAAATTCCAGGAGCCTGCAGGGCAGCTACCATTTTGCACAACAGAAGCAAAGCATTGGATATTATACATGCTTATGCTATTTTTGTACAAATACTTTATTTTTTCAATATATTTTTCAAAATACTTTGCTTTTCCCCCCAATGCTTTTCTTTAATCCAAAATAAAGTAACTTTGCTTAAAAGGCTACAGTCAACCAAAACTCTGTCTTTATGAGAAGATCTTTTTTTATTTGGTCATCAGGCAGTTCTGTAATAAATTACATCACTACATTTCCTTCCTTCATTTTGTCTTTATCTTAAATCCAGCTGTGATTTGCAGTTTATTCTGGACACAGAGCAAGACTTGAGGACTCAACTGGTTAAGAAAATAATTTTAAAGGGCAATTCAAGTTTCTGATGTGTTGTGCTCACTTATAGGATCCAACTCTGTTCTGACTTACCCAGATCCATAACCTCCATTTTCATCCCAGCTGCCTTCTGCAATAGAACAGGAGAGTGATGTTAATTCTGCTCACCTTGAGACAAATGACATGGTGTGTGTCCTGTGAGGAAACTTGGGACAATACTCCTGGACCAGGTTGCTTGGATCAGATCTCTTGTTTTGGGGAAGCCAGGGTGTTTGTCTCAGCACCATGAAGTGGTGCAGCTTTGCGGGCAGAGGCCAGGAGCTCTCAAGCTGTTACACACCAGTGGCATTTTGATTTGAATGCGACATAGACACTCCAAATGCTGTAATACTTAAGCAATGGCCAGTGGTTACATCTTGCTGTTGCCCAAGAAACTTCCATGTTCAGTAAGAGCAGCAGTGATGTGCCCAGCACTGCAGCTGGAGATGTGATCTGTGCGGGCTGGTTGCTGCACAAACACAGAAAAGAACACAGACATTGCTTCTTACACCCTCCAGCATTACAAGGCTGTAATTAAATCCCTTGTCCCAACACTCTCTGTATAAGCCCGAGGAGATGAGCTGGCACGTGAAGCCTGCATGGAGTTGAAATCAGCAGGCAGAACAAAAGCCGAGACATTCCCCCACCATTTTATTGTCTGTTTGTTGAATGTATCTTCAGCTCTGCTGGGAACTTCCCGGCACATAGGCTTAAAATGGAGCCTCTGCTTTTTTTTTTTTTTTTTTTTGCTTCATCTCTTCAGGGGCAAATAGACTGAGCCATTG